GGGTTCCCGCCGCGGCCCCTCGGTGAGGCAGCATGGGGAAGAGCTGCAAGGTGGTGGTGTGCGGCCAGGCCTCCGTCGGGAAAACGGCGATCCTGGAGCAGCTTCTGTACGGGAACCATGTGGTTGGTGAGTCCGGGGGACCGGGAGGGAGCTGGGCAGCGGCCGGCCTGGCTGCTCCGGGACAGCCCCGTCCTGCGGGTGGGAGGCCTGCACCACAGGCCCCTAAACAGGCCGGGGGTGGAGGAGGGACCGCTGTCCTGCCCCAGGCCGCCCGCCAGGACGGCTCTCCGGGTCGTGCCGGGGCCGGCTCCCTGGCCAGGGTCCCCACGTCCCCTCCGCCCGCCTCTCTGGCAGGCTCCGAGATGATCGAGACCCAGGAGGACATTTACGTGGGCTCCATCGAGACGGACCGCGGCGTGCGCGAGCAGGTGCGCTTCTACGACACGCGGGGCCTGCGGGACGGCCTGGAGCTTCCCAAGCACTGCTTCTCCTGCACGGACGGCTACGTGCTGGTCTACAGCACTGACAGCAAGGAGTCCTTCAAGCGGGTGGAGCTCCTCAAGAAGGAGATTGACAAGTCCAAAGACAAGAAGGAGGTGAGTACCCCAGGGGAAAGGGGCTGCAGAGCGGGATCTGCTCCCCTTGTTCAAGTTCTCACCCAGAGACTCCCCTTTTCTCTGGCTTGTCACAAGACAGTGACAGGGGTCCCGGTTCCGTAACACTCTCAGCTGTAACTGGCTACTGGCCTGGGATGCTTCTGAGTGTACAAGTGCTCAAGAGGCCCTTCCACTTTGGGGCTGGTTTGAGGCACCCTGCGCCGAACAGGAGGGGAAGCTGCCAGAAGGGAGCACTGGGAAGTGTGGTGTTTTAGAAGGCCTTGGCATGGAGGGGGAATTGGCTGCAGGACTGGGCCTGGCGCCGAGGGTCTTCAAGGCAGAGCCAGGCAGCACCGGTCAGCTCTGTGTTTGGTACCTTCAGGGATTCTTCTCACCCCTTTTTGAACAGGTCACCATCGTGGTTTTGGGCAACAAGTGTGACCTGCAGGAGCAGCGGCGGGTGGACCATGACGCAGCCCAGCACTGGGCCAAGGGCGAGAAGGTGAAGCTGTGGGAGGTGTCCGTGGCTGACCGGCATACGCTGATCGAGCCGTTCATCTACCTGGCCAGTAAGATGACGCAGCCACAAAGCAAGTCTGCTTTTCCCCTGAGTCGCAAGAACAAGGGCAGCGGATCCATGGATGGCTGAACCTTGTTTTCCCTTCTCTCCCCTTGCCACCTCCTCTCCCTCACCTCCCTACTTCCCTTGCACATATCTCCTGCTGAGCCTCTTGGGTGTCGCGGAGCCTGCGGGAAGCACGGTGGCACAAGGAAAGGGCGTCCCAGGGCTGGGGATGGTCTTTGAGGATGAGAGAGGTGGGCCATCTCCCTGCACTGGGACAGGGACTGCTGTTGTCACTGCCCAGCCCCTGCAGATGTTGGAGGTGCTCCAGGGAAGCCGGGATTCACCGAGAGAGGCCCCTCTGCTCCCCGGGTGCAGGCTGGCAGACCCAAGGGCCGCGGGCTGCTAAAGGGGAGGCACAGCACGGGGCTGGCCAGCAGGTGGGGATCAGCTCCACGGCTGAGCGTAGAGGAAAATTCCCTCTTGCTGCTCTGTTTTCTATTTACTGATACCATGTGAGAAGGGGACGTTTGCTGGCCCTGCCTCCAGCCCAGCCGCTGTCAGAGCAGCTCTCCCTTGTCCTACCCCAGCGGGCTCTGCGGTGCTGCAGTGTTCTCCAGCAGGTTGCCCCTTACCTGGCAGTGCTCGCTGCTCCTTTACGTGCAGAAATATTTGGTCGTCCTGCCTCAGTGAACACCTGGTGCAGGGCAAGATGCTGTTAGTGAGGGCGGGGTGCCCACATCCACCACGCCGCAGCCCTTGTCTTCCTGAGTGCAGACTCGTGACCTTGGAGAAGCTGGGACTGCGCTTAGCCTGCGCGCCCTGATGCTTGGGGCCGCGGCAGCTCTCACTGCCCATCTGTCACGGTGCTGACTCTCCTCTCGGAACCACCACAAGACAAGGGAAAGGTGTCCCGGTCCTGCCCAGCAACACGTGTTCCCTTCAGCTAGTCTGGATCTAGGAAAAAAAAAAATGACGAGAAAGCCCTGGCTTGTTTATACTTGTTCCTTTTATTTACTGAGTAACACAATAAAGCGATGAGATTCGATTATCAAAATATTTTCCTTTTTTTTTTTTTTTTCCCCAACAGTTATAGTACATCAAAAAAATATACAATGAACATTACAGGAGGGGTACTGGCCAAGTCCCTAGAGTCTGTTTATTCCATTTTTTGTGGGTTTTGTTGTTTTTTTTTGAATCAAACTGTTCACATCACTCCAAGGTTATTTACAGAGGGGCACACGTTATCGAGCGCTACGGACTATGCCCTACTACCTAATACAGCATCTGCTAAGTCAAAGGCAGTAAATGCTTTGGATAGCACAGGAGCAGGGAGGGTTTCTGGAGGCAGGGGATGCGACAGAGGGAGCGTGTTCTTACGCAGCCTGTTGCGGTATTATTGTTATTAGAAGGAATGGCTTTCGAGGGGTTAAAGTGCCACGTGGAGGAGTGCATTAGGACTCCACTGGTGCAGGGGTGACGGGAGCAGCCACTGCTGGCTCCAGCACAGGCTTCTTAGAACAAAACGCAGGGGAACGACCCACCAGTGCCAAGCGGCTCTTGCAGGCTGGAGCACGGCCGCAGCCGGCTGCTCCCGGCTCCCTGTGCTCCTGAGGCTGGCGGGCACGCTGCAGGAGGGGACGCGCTGCCCGCGGCTGGCAGTGACCGGCGAGGCGGCCTGGGGAAGAGCACAGTGAGATGAGCAGGGGGAGGGCTGGAGCCGGGCTGCCCACGGGCTGCTCGATGCTGCGATGCTGTCGGAGCCGTGTCCCTCCGGCTGCCCGGGGCCCCGGCCAGCGCAGGCTCCTGTCCTGTGGGATGGGGGGGTCCAGGCTGCACGTGTCCCCTGGGCTGTGGGACCGTGTCCCCGTTCCTGTCAAAGCCATTGCTGCTGGGAGCCCTCCTTCCCTCGGCTGCTCTCCGAGCCACGTCTCCCACCACCACTGAAAGACCGTTTGGTTGTCTCTATCCCCAGCCTTCCATACAAGCTCGCTCTGCTGCTCCTGGCGCCCTCTCTCCACTTCCCTCCTTCCCTGGGTGGAGAGGAGCTGCCCCGAGCAGATGAATTTGTACCCAGGGGCTCCCGTCCTCTGCGGCAGGAGCGCAGCAGTGGCCCCGCGGGTCAGCGCTGCCCACGGCATGAGAAACGGGCCCCCCAGGCGCAGGCGTACGGCTCCGTGCCACCCCGCTCCCGCTGTGCAGGGTTCCTGCCCTCGCCCCAGGCTCCGGCTCTTTCCGCCAGCTCTGGGAAGCAGCAGCATTCCAGCCGCGTGAGTTACCCGTTGGCCGGCTCCCATGCGCTTCCCATGGCCAGGACCCTGTCCTGAGCATCGGTGAATCACGCGGGGCAAAATCCTCCTGAAATCCAGGCGTTGCTTATGGCCATCGGATACGTGTGCTTGTGCGCGTGGATTCCCAGGTGCGCAAACCAACCTGCCTCTTCCCGAGGGCTGGGAGGGAACGGGGGTCACAGCAGAGGTCTCTGAGCCAGCACCCCGGGCCAGGGGACGGGAAGGGAATCGTCTGCACAGAGCTAAGCGCTGCGTTGGTTTTTTCCGCTCCGACCCCCGCTCCTGGCTGTACAGACAGCATGAGCACCAAAGTAAAACGCAGACAGCAAATGCGGCGGGTGAGCTGCTCCCCCTGGATTGCATAGATCGGGGTGGGTTGTCACTCCAGCGTAAGGTCCGTTTGGGTTGCAACTTTCCTGCATATTTCTATTTACAGCAGCGCGCTGGGAACCCGGAGCGCCGTGGTTACAGTTTTCAGACCAGGTCATCGCTGGGCTTTCTGAGCACAGTGAAAAGCAGAGCTACAGCTTCAGGGTCCCTCGGGAGCCCAGCTTTCCGCAGGCTACGACGGGAGCATCACAGGGAGAGCGCTGGGTGTAGGCTGCGGGTGCTGCCTGCTCCTTCGTACCTGATTGTCCAGGCTGCCGGGGACGCCTTTGTTTTTGGGAGTCATCGGTGACTCCCTGGAAGCTCCTAATGGGGATGGGGTTGGATGGGCAGGCATGGCGGCTGGCCGGCGGGCGAGCAGCAGCATTGCCTTTCACTGGAGAACCAAAAGTGCTTTAGGGACATTCACTCAGCCTCACAGCATCTCCCGGGAGGTAGGGGCAGGGCTGTCCCCTGCGGCTGGGACAGAGGCAAATGGCTGGCGCTGAGCACAGGGTCGTCATCTCGGGGAGCCCGCACCAGGCGGCCTGGCGCTCTCGTCCTCGCTGGGCTGGAGCGGAGCCTGTCCCCGGCCGCGTGCCCAGTCGTGTGCTTCTCGGGGCCAGGGCAGGGGCAGTGTGCTTTCAGAGGGAGAAGGCACCGGCCCTGGGCTTCGGCTATTGCTCTCGGAGTGAAGATAGGGTCAGTGTGGCTGATGCCCCCGTGGCGGAGGCTCTTTGGCTGGTGGGACGTAGGGGGTTGTGGGGCGTAGGGGGCTGGCGGGCAGCATGGAAACCCCCAGCCAGCACAGGCAAGTGCGGGGCTGGCGAGGGCACAGCCAGCCCGGTCCGAGAGGGGAACCGCCAACTTTCCGCTTGTGCCAGGGTTGTTTCTCCCAGTACAAGCTGGGTTGAGACTCTCCTCGCAGTTCTCTTCCCACTGGGCTCGCAGGGACCGGCCGGCCAGGGGGATCCTCCTTCCCCCGGGGACCAGCCAGCTCCTCTTCTTCCAGTCCCATCACCAGCAGGCCACGGACAGGCAGCCCCTGCCCACGAGACGCAAGAGGAGCCTGGTGACTCGGGCACCATCCTCTCCCCTGCGCCGTGCAGCCGGGTGATGGGCTCCTCTGCTGAGTGCGGGGCCGGCACGGGCAGGGGGAGCGGCGGGGATGCACGGCGGCGCTGGCCGGGCTCTGCCGGGGTATCTTGCTCCAGAAGGAGCCTGCTCGAAGCAAAGGAGAAGCCAGGGTTGATGTCTACGACTATGGTTTCCCACCAGCCAGAAGAGCAGCCTGCTCGGGAGCACCGCCCCGCGCCGTGCAGCGCCCGCGGCACAGCCTGGTTTGTGGTGGACGGACCCTCGGTGGGCAAGCGGCTCTAGTAGGGCGCAAAGACAATGGGGCCCGGCGTGGTGCGGACGTGGGCTGGCGGCGTCAAAGCCAGCTTGGACTGCAGGGAGGGAGGAGGAGACACCGTGAGGCACCCGGCTGCAGGAGAGCCCCCAGCCCCAGCTCCCCGGGCAGACAGGCAGGCCCCCGGCCACCCCCCCCCCCCCCCCCCCAGGCAGCCCCGCGTCAGCCCCTGCCACGCTCGCCTTCAGCTGAGCTCTCAGCACGCCTCCGCAGGAAACGCAGCCCCTGGTCCCGACCCAACACGCGCTCCGTCCCACAGCCCCGGTCCCTCGGCTCGGCCGCGCTGGGTCAGAGCACGCAGGGATGCCCCCATCGCGGTCACCTCCCCGGGGAGGTCCCCAGTCCCATCACTCCGACCCAGAGACCTGCCCTGGCTTTTGCAATGGCTGGGCCGTTCCCTGCATCCGTGCTTTCCTCTGGTGCCCTGGGATGACATTTGCTGCCAAACTCTCTGCTAAACTAGACAGGGAGGCTTGTGTCTCTGCAAACAAAATGCTTCGGCTGGGTTTAACTGAGCCGTGCCAGCCCCAAGCACCCAACCACCACAGCTCTCCCGTTCAGAAATGGCAAAACAGGTGGAAGAGTCACAAATGCTGCAGCTGCGAATGCTGCTGCCAGAGGACTCGCAAGTTATTCCCGCGCTTTCCTTCCCGTGAATAAAGATGCAAAACCCCTCTCACCACGACAGCCTGCCCTCCCTAAGGGGAGCGGGTTAGATGTGATCATGGAAACCGAGGCTTCAAGAAAAGCAGCCCCTGTGCCTCATTGCAAGAGATGGCCAACATGGCAAACGATGTTTCGGAGAAGAAACCGGGTGGGTAATGTGCAGGGAGACAGATACCTTGAGAATACTCACTGCGAGGGCAGCGTTCTTCTGCAGCTTGTTATAGGGGCTGTACTTGGGCTTGGGCGGCTTCCCCGCCAGCCTGTCTTTGTGCCTCCGGCTGCTCATGTGCTGGGAGAGGAAAACAGCTGGATCAGCCGGAGCCAGGACAGCGAGGGCAGGCCCACAGCCCCGCATGGCTCAGGTCCACGGGGGACCATCGGGTACCGACCCCCGGAGCCCCCGGTGCCAGCGCAGCGGGGTCTGTGTGCCCATGCCCGGTGGCCCTGCGTTCCCAGGGGAAGGCACGCGCCAGGCCTGGCACCGTCACCTGTTTGAGCTGGGTCTCCGAGTTCACGTAGATCTCGCACACTTGGCAGTGAAACGCCTTGTTCTGGATGTTGATGCTGCCCTTGTTGCCGATCCGCTTGGACTTGTGCCCTGCCCGGGAGAGGAGCTTGCCTCGGCCTCGCCGCATCTGGGTGCCGTGACCTTCCAGCATCGACTTGTGCTTGGCGCCTGGGTGGCAGAGGGGACGCTCAGCAAACACTGACTTTGCAAACAAACCCGGTGCCGTGCCGAGCGCTGCGGCAGCAGGAAGGATGCCCTCCAAGCAATGCGCCCGACAGCGCCGTGCGTCCCCCCTCCTGGGGGACCCCAGTCCCCCCACCAACCTGTGTCCAGCAGCACTTGCAGGCAGAGGGGACAGGGAGCTGCCTGGGAGTCCGGACCCTTGCCAGGGATGCGGCAGCCCGTTCCCAAACCCTGCCAAGCTCTCGTGGCCAGCTGCACTTCGCAGGCAGACCAGAAACGCTCGGCTTCCCGGAGACCCCCCCCCCACGTGCCAGACCTTCGGAGAAACTGCTATTTTAAGCATGTGCTGGAGCCTGTCGCCTGTCCCCGGGCGTTAGCACAGTCTGCGGAGCGGGGCATGTGTTGCCCGCCGTGCTGCAGCATCCGAGCTGCGCCCAAGGTCAGAGAGGATCCGGCCGCAGAGCCAGGAATAGCTCGGCGGGGTTACAGGAGGTGGGGAAGGAGGAACCCGAAATCCCCGCACACCTGGGGACAGGGCGCTCCGTCCTGCCCCTGCCAGCGCTGGGACGGCGGCGTGGGGGTGGGCAAGTAATTTAAGCCACCGCTAATTCATTCTATTTTTTAAGGCGCTAAGCAAGGAGCCCGAGTCCGTGTGACAGCCAGGGAGGGACGCAAGCCTGCAACCATTTTGTTTGTTTGTTTGTTCTTTTTCCCCAAATCAGCTCCTAAATTTGTAACCGGAGCTGACAAAAGCAAAAGGACACGTTTGCAGCTAAGCCGCAGCAGTGTCCTGAGCCAACCCCTGTGCACGGCTGCTGCCGCCACCCCAGCGGGCAGTTGGGGCTGGGGGAACTGGTTCCCAGTTCTCGCTGAACTTGACGAGAGAAGGCCCTTCCCTTTAAAACCGGGGTGCCCGTCCTTGTTCAGCACCCTACAGAGAAAGGGGTGAGCCGGGGGCTGGTGCTGCAGGGCCTGCAGACCCCGCTGGCGTCCCCCGCACTGCGGCTGGCCCCCCCGCAGCCCCAGATGCCTTCCTGCCACGGCCCATGAGCCATCGCTTGCTGCCGAGGTCCGAATGAGCTCGTTAGATTCCCAAGGGGCTTCTCAAAATGACCACGAGCCCAAACCACCAAGCTGCTTTTGGAAGGATTATCCTAGGCCTGAAAGAGGCGCTGGGACTCAGGTTGCTATCAGCTTAAAGCCCAGCTGCCATGGAATATAAAGTAGCCTCCAATCCCTCGATTAAACTTATCTGAAAATGTCTTCAATTAAGAGACACGAACAATAAGAGAGCATTTGACCTTGCTAAAATTCACTCCATAAGCTGCAGCACAGGTAAAACACCACCACTTATCTTTGCAAGCCACCTTAATTAGCCCTTTTTAATTAAAGCAACCTTCATTAACGCTCACTGTTTCCCTGCAAGGCTGTTTGGTGATGGGGCACGGCGGGGCTTTGCACGGAGCCCAGGACGGAGCTGCGAGGGGCCCGTCCCCCGCCGTGGGCGATGCCCTTACCGGTGTTGTGAGCCTCCAGCTGGGACAGGGAGTTGACAGTCACTTTGCAGGTGGGACAGTACAGGTGCTGTTTGCTCTTCTTCCCCTCCTTCTCGCTCTCGGGGGCCGAGCTGACGCTGCTGCCCGACTCAGCTGCCTGCGCCTCGGCTGCCTGCGCGGCCGAGGAGGCCATGCTGGTGGCGTCCGAGGTGCCCTCCGACAGCTCCGAGGCCGGCGGGGAGCCCAGCGGGGCGACGCTGCCCGACAGCTCCGCAGGCGACTCCTCGGCGCTGGGCGTCAGCCCCAGGCTGCTGCACTCACCCTCCGGCTCCTGCAGGCCGTTGGCTTGCGCTGGCGGGAGGGAAAAGAAAGAAATGGGCAGAAAGGGAAGGTTCTCTGTGCTTGAACGGGTTTTCTGTATTTCAGAGAGCACCCTGTCCTCCCTGAGATCATCTCGGACACCGTCTGCTCAGGTTCATCCCTGCTGAGGATGGCTCTTCCCCGGGTCTATCCCATTCCCGCTTTTATCTGCGGCTCGTGGCAGCCAGGCTCAGCACAAAAGCTGGCAGAGCCCTGGGGATGTGCGAGCCCTCATCAGGGCCCGGGCAGGGAACGCTTCCTCTCCTTCAGCCGTCCAAAACATCTCCCAGAGACACCGAATCACAGGGGAAACAGCCGCCGTTTCCCCGAGCGGCTGCCGGGGGACGCAGGGGCCAGGTTCCCCCAGGGACACGAGCTGCCCAGGCTCCTGGGCTGGCTTTCCACCCCTTCCCTGTGACCCTGTCCCCAGCCAGGCACGCCGGGGATGCCAGCGGAGCACAAAAGCACAAAAGCCCTCCTCAGCCCGACAGCAGCTGGCCGTGGCGGGATGCTCAGACACGAGGCTGCTGCGGGTCGGGATTTAATCGGGCTCTTCGGGATGCCGCAGCCACGGCAGGGCTGTGAACACAAACGCCGCTGCGCTCCCGGGAACTGGCCAGGACGCTCACACCAGTGCCGCGGGCTGCTGGCGCCGGACCCTCCCGCACGCCCCTGCCCGTGTACCTGTGCTGCCGGGCTCCCCGCTGCCCTCGGGGCTGGGGGCAAAGTCGGCTGTGCCGTCCCGGCCGGCGGCCCCCGCTGCAGCCCCCGCCGCCTTCTGCTTGCTCTTCATGGCCTCGATGGCTTTCAGCCTCCGCGCGTGCTTGTGGCCCTTGTAGTGGGCTTCTGCCTGGTTCTGGGGAGGGAGAGATGGGGACGGCCGTGTCAGTGCTGTGGCCAGACAGACGGACGGACACAGGGAGGATGGGTGAAGGGGTCAGCCCCGGGCCGTGACCGCTTGGGCACGTTTCCAGTGCCACCTCCCCTGGTGACGTTCATCCCCAGGGCCACCTCGGAGGTGGCATTTTTGGCTGGGTGCAGCGCAAAGCTGCTCTCCTCCCGCCAGACTGCTCTGCACACGGATGTATTCAGGCCGAGGTATCGCTTTGCTAAGACATCACCGCATTGCACGGCCGAGATAAGGACCCTGCTCTGATTAAATGCATCAAGTCACTTCTAAGAGAAGCTTTCAGGCAAAATTCATGACATCAGAAACGTACAATGAATTGCTAGCTGTAAAAATAAAATAAAAAAGTGCATTGGTGGGGAGGACACATCTCCCTTTGTAACCTAACGGGTGTCTAACATGCAATTTACATTCACGGGCTCCTTTCTCCCAGCAAACGCCGAATAATGAAGTGCACGTTGATGGGTTCATGCCTGCACCGAACTGATAAAAACATACACAAAAGAAAATCACCCGAACGTTTGTGTACTCCGCAGTCGGGGACAATGCCACATTGTCCCTAAAAACAACTACGGTTTAGCAATTTATGGAAACTAAATCCAATATGAATTAAGACACTGTACCACTGAGCAGCACGGATTAATTTGCACGGCGTTTCCAGAGGCTGGCTGAGGCTTCCCGCGCTGGTAGGAAGAAGCATCCCTTCCCTCCCCCCGCGGCTTCCCGAGGGCTGGGAACGGCGTCCGGGGCTGCGCAGCGACGGCCGGGTACGTGGGAAAGCGAAAGGCCCATCCGAGCGCGGGGCCTCATTAGCAAATACAATAAACTTCCCCCAGATAACGGGTTGGGACGGGGCTGGGCTGCAGCCTAAGTAGGTCAGCCGGCACCGCTGCCGCTCTGCGCAGAAACGCGAGTGGCGTGCGAGGGTCTGCGCCAGGACGTGCTCTCCCGCAGACGCGACCTCGGGGGGACGCAGGCAGGGACGGGCAGAGTGGGGGCGAGCGGCACAGGGTGCCTGTGAGGGCAGCGGGAGCACGCGGTGGGACGCCCGAGCCGCCTGGTTACGGAGCAGAATAATTAAGCCCAGAAATGCTGCCTTTTGCTGGCAGAGCAGCCCCCAGCCCCGGCCGCTGCCAATACCGCTCGGCCGGGCTGGGACGGCACCTCCCTGGGAGGCAGAGCCAGCCTGGCCAGGGCGCAGCGTCCGGGTGGGCGCAGCCACCCCGGGGGAGGCGAGAGCAGCTCCCGGCAGCCCACGCTGCCAGACACCGAGCACGCAGGCAGCGCCGGCAGATGAGACTCCGCTCGGGGCCAGCCTCCCATGGGTACAAGGGGCTCAGCGCTGCCTTGCTCCCCCAGGAAGGGCCGGCCGAGGCCAGGGGATGCTCCAGGCTGGCAGCTCTATAGGCAACGCGTGTGCGCGGGCTGGGCTGAGCACGGGAGGCTCCTGCCTCCACCTCCACCCTGCACGCCACGCAGCAGCGGCACCGTGGAGCAGATGGACTCACACCGGTGCGAGGGGGCCAGCCCAGGCAGAGGGCCCCGAGCCGCTGCCCACCCCACCGTGGCTCTTGCCGCCCCGCTCCCCCGGACCCGCTGCCCGCGCCACCGTGGCTCTTGCCGCCCCGCTCCCAGCAAACCCCCGTCCCTCTCCTGCTGGCTTGGAGCGAGAATTCCCTTTCAAACCTTTTTATCAGTTTTCCCCACAAAAGATCAGCTGTGTGCAATTCATTACCGCAGGGATCAATGAATGTTTCCTTCCTCCCCTCTACAAGGTGGTTGATTTACTTAGAATAAAAGGCTGGGGAAAAAAACCCCACCACCTGCCACCCCAGAGCTGTGGGAAGCCAAGGCAGGGAAGATTATATTCAGCTCCCACGGACCAGCTATGAATTGCATGGGCTGATAAAGCAGCTTAAGCACAAACACCGAGACCAAGGCAGCAGGGACGAGACCCAAACAAAACAACGAGGAGCAGAAAGAGCCAGCGTGGCAAACAGAGGACACGGCAGCCCCGGGGCCCACGGGCAGGGAGACGTCGGTGGCAAGGGCAGCCGGGGCAGCCGCAGAGCGAGGGGGGGGCAGAGCTCCGAGGAGCGGCCGCCTGCACCACGGGCGTCTGCGTGGTGCCCCCGTCGTGGGATGCTCCTGCGCAGCCACGGGCGCTGGCACCAGCCCCGCTCGCCCACCCAGCCCCGTGCTCGCCGCCCCGCTTACCGCAGAGTTGAAGCGCAGGTGGCAGATGTTGCAGGAGATGAACTGCTTCTTCTTGAGCGGGGCGGGCACGCCGAAGGTGTGGCTGATCACCGCCTTCTGCACCGGGTCCATCTGGAAGGGGAGGGAAGGCAGAGGGTGGCTGGGTGCCACGCTGCGACGGACGCCCTGGCACAGCACCGCGACCCAGCGATCCCCCGCGCCCATCACGCTCGCCGAGGAGCCACTGCGAACACCGGCAGAGCTCGCGCCTGGTGTCTGGAAGGAGCGAGCGGCCGGGGCAGCAGAGGAGCCCCGTCTGCCATGGAGGCACCCCCTGCGCGGGGCAACGCTGCTGCGCCGACGCCTGTTCTTGTCCTTTTTAAACCGACCCTGAAAAAAACAAACCTGCAGGGTCCGAACGCCTGCTGTGGTCTGGCAGAGGGGATGAGGCCGCTGTGGGGGCACAGACCGCGGACCCCGTCCTCCCCAGCCCCACCATGCTCCCCTGTGCGTCCCCCCGTCCCCTCTCCCCCCACCGCAGACACCGGTGTCACGGGTGGCAAATTACTGCTTTCTGTTTGAGCTTCCAGTTGCTGCCCTCGACCTCCCAATGCCAGGGCAGCTTTCCAAGACACTTAGCAGGAGCAGAAACCACCAAAACAGGGAGCAGAGGCAATCAAAACAAGCAACCAGCCATTAATCCTCCACGTGCTCTTCATCGGGGAGCTGAAACGTCCCTGTGCAAAGCTGAAGGCGCGAGCAGAGCCACGCACGCCTGCTGCTTGCCCACGGGACGCCGCACCGCCCAACGCAGGGGCCAGGGCAGGAGGGACGACGGTGCCCACAGCCACGGGCGCAGCGTGCCCGAGGCGCGGTGCCCACGCAAAGCCACTCCGGGCTGCCGGCTCCCCATCAGGTAGGCACTTTGCCTGCTCTAATTGAATTACAAGGACTTGCGAGCTTGCGCAGCCCCTGCTATCTCCCCGGGCGCACGTGTGGAGCCAGAACAGCTCCAGTTATCTGCAAGGAGCTGCGTATTTCCACGAGCCCGCTCGTGGCGGGGCGGCGCGGGGCCCGCAGGCGAGGCAGATGCGTGCAGGCTGATGACAGCCCCTGGCGCTTCTGTCTCTCCCCAGGGCTCGGCGTCATTCCTCAGCCCAGGCAGCAAACTTGTTCAAGAAGCCATAATTGTTTTAAACAAAATACATTTATTAAGAGGGAGAAAATAAGAATAACCTCTTTGTTTGAGCGTGCCTATAATCTATAATGCAAGTATTGTTCCCCTACCCTGTGGCATAGGAAGATTATCTTATCTGAGTCCTGCTCTCAGTAGAGCCTTGGGTTTTCAGGCGATCGTATTTCTCTGCAAAGCTATTTCGTTGCTGGAGACAGGTGCATCAGTCTTCGAGGCACATGCCTGGACAACAGAGCCATTATCAAGACCCCAAATTCCTTTCCAGGAGTGAGCAGAATGGTAAAAGCAGGTGATTAATGAAGTGCCTGTTCGCTATGAAATTTTACTCACTTATCTGGCATATAAATGAAGAGGCATTTGGGGTTCGGCAGAGACCCGGAGGAAGCTACAGATGGTAAAGATGCTGCTCCACCCCTGACGACAAACATTGCAACGTGCTACAGGCAGTGTTCCTGCGCTGCCAGTCTGCCGGCAGCAGCGGGGCCGGCACTTCTTTTCAAGACAAACACCCACCTTTTCCACGCAAAGAAAAGAAAAACAGCTCTAACCTTCGCAGCAGCGTCAGCTGCTGGGGCCCGGCTGGCGGCTCCCACCGAGCCCTGCTGGCTCCCACGGGCTCATCCGCCCCCGAACACCACGGCAGGAGCAGGGCAGCAGGGCGGAGGATGCAGAGGAAAGGGAGACGCCTGCATGAGGATGCAAAAGCAGCCAGGGACCATCCTGGCATGAACCTGAACCTGCCGGGGGCACTGGGGCCACGGCTGAGCACCGACTCCAGGGCAGTGGTGCTGAGCGGCCCCAGCACAGGGCCCCCTCGTCCTCCCAGGGCATAAGGCAATGGCACCAACCTGGGCCTTTACGCCCACTGCGCTTTTGCCAAGTCCCGTGGCACAGTAAGGAGTAGCGTTCATCAGCGCGCCCGTGCTGCCCGCAACCTCCCCAGGCAGGCGCAGGAGCTGCGAGCTCCCCGGGGCCGGGCTGGCCGGCGCACCTGAAACCTGGCTCCTCGCCCCAGCCCCGTGCATGCCGGCCAAGGCTGGTGCAGCTGGGGACCATCACCGCTCCTGCTATCCCAAAGCAAACGCAAGCACTGCGTCCTAAAAAGGCTTCAGGTGCGCAGCCCCGCGGGAGCGCACCCAGGGGCACGCGTGCCGTCCGCGTGGTGTCGGCGGGGGCTGAGCCACCCCTTGCCACAGCCGCTCTGCTGCGCCGAGCACGCTGGGCGAGCGCGGCGTGGCTGCAGCACGCAGGGCGCTTTGCTGGAAGCCCAGCCCGGCTCCCTCCGGCGCACAGCACTCAGCAGCTCCGACACTTGGATGCTACCGAGAGCCCCCGTGCTTCTCTCTGAATGAAAACACAAACGTGCCGTCAACTTCTCCCTAACATATGCACTCATTGCTCTTCCAGATGGGAAAAGGAATCATTTCGGACCCCCAGCTCTCCCCTGGGGCCGGTGAGGGTCTGTGCCACAGCGGTACCTACCGGCGCCCGCAGCCGGGTGGGTCGAGGCTCTTCCAGGCCGTTTCCAGAACTGATCCAACAGCAGAGGTAGGCTTTGGGCACCGCAGGCTTGCAGAATAAAGATTGCAGCTTTGTAGTCAATTCTTATTGACTCACATTACTTTATTTATCCCTGGATGTTCCTACCGATATAAATAGAGATCCTTGTGCTGAGCTCTCTGCCGGCCACCGAGGTCAGAAACGGGAATTCGCAGGGACGCAGCATCAGTTCGGATTGCATCTCCTGCCGTGGTTTCGCGAGGCGCTGCTGGGCCCTGGGTGTTTGCAACATCCCAAGAGCTAGAAAGGGCCTTCTGAGCCCGAAACGTGCCTTCTGCGTTGCGTTAGGACTTTTTCTCCCCGTTGTTGTTGCTTTAAGTGGCAGGAGAGCTCAGCTTGGAAAGGTTTCGCTGGCTCCAGAGTAAAACATCTGCTGGGTTCATGAGAGCCTTGTGACCTGCTCAAAGTGCAAAGTGCTCTGCTGAGCAGCGGCAAACAGCTCCTGCTCCACAGGGCAACGCCGAATCCTGCACAGCATCACCAGCAACGCTGGAGAAGCAAAGGCAAACCCTCTGATTTCTTTTTATAGCAACTGAGATACGGCAGCTCTCTCAAAAAGTAAAACACCCTGACTGATGCTCCTTCCCACCCTCCCAAATTACCCGAGGCTCAGCTGCCAGGTGGAGTCTCCGACCTGGCGTCGCAGTTACTTGGGCAGTGAAACAAGGAGCCGCCAGCCGGCTCCGGGGCACAGCGACGCTTGAGCCCTGCCTCCCGTGAGGACGGGGACGCTGCTCTGGGTCCCTGCAAAGCCGCCTGCCCGGGCACAACGCTGAGCCCTCGCACCCCAGCCTCAGCCTCCTCGCCAGCACAAATGCACCCCGAAGGGGCAGCTCCCACCCCGGACGGTCCGGCCTGGCGTCGCTCGGCTAACGTCACCCGCGGGCCTCGGGTCTGAGCTCAGAGCAATTAATTCCAGGTGCCCGCAGAGCCGGGACAGCCTCCCCCAGCATCTCCATCCCCGTGCCCGACTCTTCCTCCGGGGTAGAGGGGTCGCCGCCCAGCACCGAAGCAGCGCGACGGGGCTGTGCAGCTCCAGCAAGTGCAAGAGTGTAATTTTCCAATTTTCTTTTTTTCTTTTAAAGCAACACAACTCTGGAGAACACGTGCCAAGGCAGGGGCACACGGGAGCCAAGCAGCACAAACAATAGGGTCTGGTTCAAGTTAGCTACTGACTCTAACGACTAACAAAAGGAGCCCAGACAAAGAGCAGCAACCTTAATGGCATCAAAAAAATCCTCCTCTCCTGTATTTCTGCTTGTTAGCACAGGGGAGAGACAGGCTAGAGCTGGGATTTCAAAAGAGCTTAAAGGAGTTAGACGTCTGAATCCCATTCAACAGCGACAGGAATCCTGTACTTAATTTCTATGGCCGTCTTTGAAGATCTCGGCGATAATTTGCACCTTCCGAGCACGTTTAATCTCAAAGCCACTTACAAAAGGGCAGCGAGCGAGCGGGGAGGGAGCTCAGCAAAGTCCCGTTTCCAGGCTCACGAGGGAGAAAAACGAGCATTTACCAAACCCAGAAACGTCCGCCCTGCCTCTGCGGGGGAGAGCAGCACGGAGGGAGGGGGGCAACGCCACCTCACGCCCGAGATGCTGTCCTGTGTCTTTGGCCGCATCCGTGTCAATTTAGACGTATAACAGAACATCTCCACAGAGCCATGATTAATTGCGTAACCCAAGCACTTGGTCCGGTGGTTCAAGGTTGGGGACCTCGAGCCCAGCCGGGCGGCGGGAGAAGTCCCACAGCGGCCAGGCTCGCCCAACACCCACACCCACGCAGCACCAGCCGCAGCCCTTGTATCTGTATATGCCTCCTCTCTCTTTCTTTCTTTTTTTTTAATTTATTTTTCAAGTAATGAGCTGCTTTCCAGAGCTACTTTATTACTATTAATTCCAGGAGCAAAATCCAATTGCTCTTGGTTAAAATGAACCATTTTTTAATTCTGGTATATAAGGGCGATGGCTGGGCAGGAACCGCTCCGAGCTAAGGGCAGGGCGGGCACGTTGCACTAGCGCCCAGCAGCCAAAGACCCCGGTAATGAAGCCAGACATTATCTGGTGGGGCTCGAGGAGTGGTGCCGCGTAGAAGAGGGACCGCTGCGGGGGAGGAGGGGTCCGGCGGCCGATGCCCACCCGCCCCCGGGGACTCACCGTGTTGAAGTTGGGGAAGAGGTTGAGCGGTGATGTCCCGTTGAGCCTGAAGGTCAGAAAGTGCTTGATGTCCAAGGGGGGATGAAGGGGACGGCCGGGGATGGGCAACGACGCTAAGAGGGGGCTGCTGTGTCCGGAGGGACCTGGGCAGGCAGAGGGGAAAGAGCAGCATTAGCGTTGGTGGCCCCTGCTCGCAGTGGGGGGCCGCAGCACGGGGGGCCGCAGCACGCGGGGCCATCGGCCGTGGGCTCCAGACTCTCCTCAGCGAAAGCTCCCAGCCCAGGGTGGCCCCGGGCACCCCTCTGCCTTTCGGGCTCAAAACCAGCACCCCGGTTCAAAGCCAAATGCAGGCATCTTCACATCAGAGCATTGACACACGTAGGGATTCGCTTTGAACCCTCCGAAAGGCGTCAAAACCTCCCCTAGGGAAACAGCCCCCTCCCCGGGCTGTCCCTGGGGACCCCACGCAGCCCCGGGCTCTCCCACGCTGGTGCCACGGGGGCTGCTCCTTACCGGGGCCGGTGCTTTTTTGGCCGCCGGCGGCAGCCGAAGGAGCACCCTGGCCTCAAGCACCCCTCAAGCACCGGGACGGGGGGCACAGGGCTGAGCAGCCCCCACCACGGCTTTGCAAAGGTGTTGAATTTTGGGTGCCCCGGGACCATCCGAGCCGCATGGGCGCCCCAGCTCTGCCCCTCCACAGGTATTTTGGGTGGAATCCCCCCGACCCGCCGGCTCCCGCACTAGAGCCACCCGCTCCCCGGCCGGGCGCTGCCGCCTGCCTCGCGCCATCCCCTGCAAATTAACTGCGAGCTCCAGCGTGCGATTTAAAAATAGCCTGGAGTTATTAATAATTTTCTGTTTAAAAAGAAAACACCGCCGGGAAGGAGGGAAGGCCAAACAGAGGGGATCTGGCTCCAGTCCGCTCCCCGTCCCAGCACTTTGCCCTGCTGGGAAAGCATCCTCTGACCCACGGAGGGCCCGGGCTGGGCTCCTGCGCCCGTGCACAGCTCCGAGAGTGAGGAGGGGGGAAAAGTTAAAATAAACAAACGAATGAACAAAATACAATAAATAAGAAAAGATTTCAAAACGCCGTGAGCCAGAAAAGCCCATTCGCATCTCGCACGGCTTCACGCCTTTGCCCTCCTCCAGCCCACCTCAGCAGCCCCGTCCCTCCTCCTGGAGCAAGCACAAGGCCAATGTTCCTTTTTCTTTTGATTTCTGGGCTCTTTTTCACCTGGAAGCGGGGCGCCGGGCTGCCCTGGCGCAGCGTTACCCCAGCCCGCTGCCCGCCCCAGGGCTGAGAACCGCAGCAGCCCCTCCCGGGAGGACGACAGCGGCCAGTGCCCGAGGGGCTCGGTGCTCCCGCAGCAGAAACGCTGCCCGGGAGCTGTGACCACCGGTGCCGCTTGGGGACGGTGCCGAGGCACTTGCCCCCCTCCAGCCCCCCATGCCCCGCCACCGGCTGCGCAGGACGAGGACCCCGGTCCGACAGCAGCGGCTGGTGCTGCTCTCCCACAGCGCTTTGCTTTCTGCTCTTCCCCAGCCCCTCCACTGGCAGAAACCAGGCCGGTGCAGGAGCCGAGATCCAAATCTGAAATTCAAAGTTTGAAAGATTTGCTGAATTTGAGCAGCGAGCGCTCGCCGCGTGGGCCCTGCGGGCAACAACGACCTCTTTCTGGGAGAGCGCACACGGGCAGCTCTTCAGCGGCACCCGAGCCATCCCTGAGTCAGGCCTGACTCCGGGGAAAAATTACATTTTGCTTCATCAGGCGTGCATTGATCGAGTTAATTCCAGAGTCGCCCAGAAGGGAAATCTGTGAAACTGTTTAAAAATAAATAAATAAAATTATAGCAACAGCGACGAGGGAGGGAGCAAAAGCAAGCAGAAATGGGTGAACGATGCATAATTAACCTTCTGAGGCATGAAACAGTGTTTCTGCATCAAATCATCTGAGAGGCAGGGCCGGTGCCCGGGGAGCCGCCCCCGGGGACCCCCCGCCCGCACACCCAGCCACGACCCTGCGCCAGAGCAGCGGTTGCAACGCAGGCACTCGGGGCTGGATTGCAAGGATTTCCACTTGCCTTTGTCAGGACGTTTTGCACTGATTGCACTAGCCTTAAAAAATCCCCGGATAGATTAAATTTACCACCGGGAGGAACAAGAGGATGGGCGAACGCCTCTGCCCCCATCAGCAGTAACCGAATAAAGGGAGTTTGCAGCTCAGCCAACACCACCGCACCGGCGAAACCTGGCTGCTGCTGCGTGGCCCCACGGCCGAGGGGTTTGCTCGCCAGGGAGAAGCTCCTGCGCCGGGTGGGCGCGTGGCCCGGGGTGCTGGGGGGACACACGGACACAGGCTCCCGGGGACAGCCACCGGCTGCTGCCCACTGACAGTACGAACGCGATACGCCAAGCTGCTTTGGCGCATCCTTGAGCCCAAATTTGTGGATTAAACATATTTCTGGGCTGGGTCTGCAGCCCAGGGGTAAAACAGGCACAAGAGAGGAGAGAGCCCAGAAACCCCGACCGAGCCGGGGCCCTGCGGAGCGGGCAGCACCTTTCCCTCCCGGTTCTGCCACTGAAGCAGACGAGACCCCCGCGAGCGGGAAAAGGGCTGAAAGCCTCCAACAGCATCGCCGTCGTTCAGGCCCCCTGCGAGGAGCGGCCCCGCGCCTGCAGCTGGCAGAAGGAGGAAACCCAGGGCTCGCTGCGGAAGGGACGAGCTGCAGCCGGTGCGGCTCGCTGTTCCCCGGCTACGGAGGGGAGAAAGGACAGCAGTCACGCGACAAAGGCACCGCCAGCTTCAGTCTGCCTGAACCTCAGATGATCACAAAAGCATAAGCACTGTGTAAAGAGAGAGGCAGATGAGCGGTGCAGCCGCAGCCCCGGCCCCAGCGAGGCTCCCTGGCACGCCGCAGCACCCCGCCGGAGCACGGGGCACCCACACGATGCTCTTGGGGCACCTTCCCAAGGTTATGAGGCCGCACCGCTGCGGCTCCTGCCTTACCTTTGCTGCAGGGCAGATTCCAGCAGCAGCTGTGGGCTGTATTTTTAGGTATTAATTAGACACTCAATTAAGGGGATTTGCTTTGGGGAGAGTGGCAGGGCCCCCAGGTCTGTATAGAATGACATGACCTTACCCGAGGTGACGGGCATGGCCAGCGGCAGGGTGGGCTTTGCTGCTGAATGGCATCCCCAGATGCTCGGTCTGGTCTGCAGCTCCGGCGCGGGGCCGTCCCCCACCGCAGCGCTGTCTTTGTCTTTCCCCCCATCCTGGCAGAGCCCCCACCTCGGCAGCCAGCACGGCCACTCCAGCACCGCGGCATCAGCCCCACGGGCCCTGCTGGGACGAGACACGCTCGGGGCTCCGTGAAGCATTTGGAAGGGCTGGCGCAAGGAGGGCAGCGCAGGAGCCCCGTGCTCCTGGCACAAGCACCAAGGGCACCGCAGGTGCTGCCCCGTGCCCCAGCCAGGCTCTCGGGTTAGCCGTGCTGAGGACACACTTGAGCCGATCTGAAATCCCACGTGCCACCCAGCCGGAGCCAGGTCACTGTGCCCGTGCCTGCTGCGCGGGGGCATCCTCCGCCGAGCCGCTGAGCGATGGCCAGGTCTGAGCCGCTGCAGCCTGGGGGTCCCTTGGCCCCCCCAGCTCTGCAGGGAGGGTGCACAGCCGTTCTTAACTGAGCATCCAGGCCTGGCCGAAAGACGCCAAACCACACGACGTCACCGCTGCGGTGCCGCGCATCCCCTGCCTGGGGCTCAGCCTGGAGCCATCAGCTCAGCCCCCTCCCAGCCCTCTGAAGCTCAGCCCAGCTCCTGTCCCGCAGGCACGTGACTCTCAGAGGGGTCCCTTGAAATTTAGAGACGTGTTTCAGTCCTTCATTTAAGCAAGCCCACCCAGGACCGTGCCGGGCCGCTGTCCCCCCGCCTCTTCGCTCCACACAGCAACCACACACAGGGCTGCAGCAGGTTTTCTCCCAGGTCCCCCGCAAGGCAGAGCAGAGCGACTGTTGTGCTCTAACGTTACGTATGTGTGAACCTCCAAGAAACGCCTCTGAAAGCAGCAGGGGCGATGCTGGGGGTTTTCATACTGACATGAGAATCTGCCAAGGACCCATCTCCGCAGACGCCGGCTGCCTCGCAAGAGCATCTGGCGCAGAGTCTGCACGGGACAGATGGAGACGGGAGCTGTTTATTCGCACAGAAGCAGTCTGGCTCCCTCTCATTTGGTAGGTGTTCTCAGTAAATTGTGGTGGCGTCTCAAATTCCTTACCCAGGGCTTTAAAGCTTTTGTCTCTGGCCAAGCATCGGCTGAATTCACTCCAGCTATTTCCAGGAGACTCTGGGAAACACGTGTGCACTCCCTGATGCCAAAGGCTGCAGGCAAGAGAAGAGCAGCAACAGCCATTCACAACGCTGGACCACGACCACGGCACCGGAGCAGGCCCAGCACTGCTCGGGGTCCAGACCACCCCCAGTGCCTCCAGCTCCAGCTTTAGGAACATCAGCAATTAGCAGATTGCCCTGCCTCAGACTCCCAGAGCAACCAGACGCAGCAAACCCCACCTGGACCGCAGAGCAGCAGATCTGTTGGTCCTGAAGACAGCGATGCTGCAGCTGCCCAGGCGTGGTGGGTTTGCTCCGTGGCCACAGCAGTCCCCGCAGCAGGACCGGCCTTGCCCGAGCGCAGCCCCTCCATCCCGCCCAGCTCCAGCGGAGCCCAAGGGAAAGGAAGGGCCAAGCCCCTCTGGCGCTGACGCCGGCTCCCAGCCTCCCTGGGAACGTGAGGACAGTGCACGTTTTGAGCACCATCCTGCTACATTCTCCTCTTTCCAGCTTTTGACAGCCACAGCCTCCACCTCTACACGCCCAGTTTGGACAGAAAGCAGCCCACAGCAAAGCCCAGCTTGCAGGACAAGGTCGCGCTGAAAACCACAAACCCGAACTGGGGGATGCTTCTGAACAAGCAGCCAAATGCACTTGCCATCAAACCAGCGTCTCCGCCTTACGGACCAGCCGGAAGGACACGGACTCCGGGCCATCAGCGGTCACCTGCCGCCAGCCCTGCGGACAGAAATCCCGGCCTTCCCTGCCTCCACCGCAGGTGCGGGGCACAGCGTGCCCATAGGAGCCTGTGAGACACTGCCAGGCGCCCTCAAACACCCAGTCCATACATCCGACATGGGGGCCGCGGTACCTGTTGGGTTGGACAGACGGCAAACCGCCCCTCGGAGCAATGGGGGGACCCCAGCAGGGGAGGCAGCCGTGCCGGCCGAGTACTGCTCCGGGGGCCACAAAGGCCACCGCCCCCCGGGCAGCGGCTGCTCGCTCCGGAGGAGGGGGAGCAGCAAGACTGAGCCCCTGCCACGACCCTTCCATGTCGCTGCCGCACAAGTCCCAGACGGAGGCAACCGCATGGGACGAACGGGGACCGTCAGCGTTATGGACATTGGGGCCAAATCCTGCCAGACGCGGACCCTGCATCTGCAGGACGACATCAACTTACCCAGGGAAGGAGCGGAGCTGCATCCCGCAAGAGGACCCGGAGCTCAGTATTAAACCGCCACGATGCTTCAGGCTGCTGCGTTGGCTTTACTGCAGATTAAAATCAGTGAGAAGGGGCTTCTCACCCCACCCCGGCAGAACTGAAGGAAACGTCCCCCTGAGTAAAACCAGAGAAGCCCCAGAACACCCCGACACGCCACGCAGCGCCCGCCGCCCGGCTTGGCACCGCGCTCGCACACCCAGACCCCAGCGGCAGAGGCGCCCGAGTCCCTGCTGCCACGGGCTCCCGACAGCTTCGCTCGCTTCGGGGCAAAGGGAATGTCGAAAAGGAAAAACACAAGCTAAACAACTCAGGTTTGTCCCAACAGCACATGTTAAAAGACTCCTCCTTTGGCTGCAAGGTTGCAGAGCTCAGAGTGCAAAGGGAACGTAGGTATGTGATGCCATGTTGAAAAGACAAGGAGTTCGCTATTTGTTATTTTTGGACCCCTGCTTATAATTTATTATCTCATTGCAAAAAAAGTCCTTTTAGATATCTTTGCACTTTAAACACTAGGAAAATTAAGATAGACCTTTTTAATATATATATTTATATATATATTTTTATATATATACACATACACATATATACACATCCATGCATTTAAAAGTTACTATTTCCTCAGTGATTACAATATCATTCTCTAAATCTCTTGCTCTTGAAATGATCATGACTCGATGCCACTGCTAAAAATACTTTGTGCTGTGCGCAAGGAATACCAACAAGACACCGCCAGGCATTTCGGGGTTTGCCACGGAGCTACAAAGATGCGCTGCCTTTTCTGCATTCATTCTCGAGGCTCCAAAACAACAAAAATCAGACGTTTTTGCAGAGTATTAAGTAAAAGCTACTGGCTATCATTGTGCAAAGGCGATGTGACATTTGAACTCAAGAGAAGATTTGCCTTCATCTCCCTAAAACAAAATAATAACAAACCCTTGGAAAAAAAACTCATCATAATTTAGGATTTCAGGTGGCCCCAAGATTTTAAATTCTGGCCAATTCAGATGGATGTTTGGGGGGTGAGGGATGGGTGGTTGTGGGCCCGGCATGGCTTTGTGAAGGATCCCATTGCCTCTTCCCAGCATGGAGCAGGTCACCACCCACTGGTGGCCACCCAGCCCCGGTGGTGGCCAGGGATGGGGAAAGGTGGCGGCGAGCCGGCGCTCGGGGCTGCCCGCAGGACCCGGCTCCCTGCCCGCAGGGCTCTGCCTTCGCTGGCCACCGCTCACTTCACCTGCGCCACAATGAAGCCGGACTCCCTCATGCTCTCGTAGTACTCGATGGCCAACGCAAAGTCAAACTCGTTGATGGCCGGCCCGTCGATGGCAATCTTCATGAGGTCGGAGAGCCCCTCGTCCTTTGTGCGGTGCGACCAGCCGCGCTTCAGCATCTCCCGGCCCCGGCTGATCTTCTCAGCGAGGACCGAGCCCAGTGGCAAGGCCAGGGCGATGGCTGCGAGGACAGCGAAGTCCGGGAAGAGCTCATGCATCTCAGAATTGCTGTAGACCAGCTTGACGCAGAGGTCCTTGAAGGAGAGCTGGCTGAGGCTGAAGACGATCCGCTTGAAGAGGGGGAAATCGCTCAGGGCCCTCTCGCTCACCACCACCCGGGAGTAAGCCTGCAGGAGGAAATTCAGCTCACTGACCCCATAGCTGCCAATGTCCTCCAAAGACTGGGGGTAGCACTTGGGGTTGAAGATGGCTGAGAAGGAGCTGATGGCCTCCAGGACACTGCTGGGGAACCTGTCCAGCAGGTTGCCCCGCACGCTCTCCAGGTAGCTCTCCTTTAGGCGCTCAAAGTGCTTCAGGTGCACCTTGGAGCAGTTGGCCAGCTCGACACCCTTGTAGTAAAGGCGGCTCTCGCCCTCCCGGTCATCCCGCGGGTGCTCGTTCATCTCGTTGAGGAACTCCTGGAGGTTTTGGCCACTGGCGCTCTTCTGGGCCTGCAGGGTGGTGGCTGTGGCAGAGACGATGGGCTTCAGGATGGAGATGTCAAAGTCCTCAATCTGGAAGAAGCGGCTGAGCTTCTGGAAGATGGGGAGGACATCCAGGAGGATCTTGGTGAAGGCCACAAACTGGAACTTCTTGAGCTCTTCGCAGAGGCCATGGGCCACGGGCGACCGCTCCGCCTCGCTCTCCAGCAGCAGCACCAGCGTGGGCCACGAGGAATCAATGGCTTCCACGGCTGGGAAAATAGAAGTCCAGTGGATGGCTTTGGGGCTCCCGAGGTCTATCTCACAGAGGTCCAGGACGCTCCGCAGCTCCTGCAGGCCATTGCTTTCCCCCCTGAAGCTGGAGTAGAGCCTGTACACGGCGTCCACAGTGGTCTCGTATTTCTGGAGGTATTCGATGCTGACGATGCTCTCGGCCGGCAGCAGGGAGCTCCCGTGGGACAGGCAGTGCACCTCCGTCAGGAGCGGGCAGAGGGAGGTCAGCGCGGTCCCCACCCCGCTCAGCCGCTCGGCCACCAGCGAGGCACTGTCGGTGCTGAGCCACGTGATCTTCATGGTGGGGATGCCGAAGGAGCGCATCACCTCGCCCACCTTGCCCGTCACCGTGGCGGCCTCCCCGGCAGGCAGCTCGAAGCTCCCCAGGAAGGCGGCGGAGGTCTGCCCGTTGCAGGGGGAGACGGTGGTGGTGAACATGGCGAGGTTGCGGTGCTCCAGGACGTCCACCGTCTCGTCCACCACCAGCCCAACAAATGGTGAGGCTTTTATCCTGTGCCTGTCCTCGTTGTGTAGGACTTTGGCGATCGCTGCCTGAGCCAGTTAAAGGGGATGCGCGGGGCAGGCGGGGAGGGAAAGAGAAACACAAATGAACTTCAAAAGCACACGGGAGATGTACAGCACCCGGCGCAAAGCAAGCTGCAAGGCTCCCACCCTCGGATCTCCCCAAAAGCGGCGCAAGGTCCCGCATCAGAGAGAAGCCCTTAAGCAAGTTGTACATACAAGTACATATACAAGCTGGAAATCACTTTCTTTTTTTCTAATATACCATCTCCTCCTGCTCCTGGCCTGCAGCCCAAACACCAAGCGGAGCTCCAGAGAGCTCCAGGGTCCCTGTCCGGAGCCGGGGGTTGGAGCCCCACGGCTTCAGCACGACCGATCG